GAGGGGAGGGGGGACTCGACTCCCTAATGGGCATGACCACTGGCCGGAATTAATTCGGATAATTTGCATGGCATGTCCGTTTCAAACGTGAAAATGCCGCTAATCGTGTGAATCTTCCGTGGAAGCTGAAGCTGCGGCGGCGCAGAGAGCTTTGATGTGGAATAGAGTCCTGCGGCTTTCCCCGTAGCGGAGTCCAGCACGACCTTGGAGTGTCCACAGATCTCTGCTCTTCCCGATGCCAGCGAGGGAGCGAGAGAGAAGCGGCTTCCTTCGAAGTCAGAGACAGAGAAGGGAAAGCGACTTTGTGACTTACTTTTTTAGCGATGGGCCCATAAAAAGATCATATTTTTTGTTGAGTGCCATTTCCGCCTTTGTACGCTCTTCTTTTTTTACGATTCAGGCCAGGATCAGAGTCGGGATCGGGATCGGCAAGGAGGCTAGGAGGCTGCAGAAAAAGTCATTTCTAAAAAATATCCACCGCACCGCAGCGAGTCAATTTTTTTACGGCCCTCAGAGGCGGAGAAGACGGCAAGGTCAGCCCCGGAATATCGGATATTTGCCATTCTGTTCCGTTCCGCATTCCGCATTTTGCTTCCGAATTCCGCGAATTTCATAAAAATCTGCCCAAAGTCCGAAAAACTCTGGAAACCTAAAAATCTGAAACTAGAACTAGAATTCCAATGCAGTTTTTTTATGCCGCCTAATTTTTATGGCCTAAAAAACGGAACAGCACCGAGAGCCGAGCCTAGCCGAGCCTCACAGAATATCATCTCCGTCATAAAAACCCCGGAGGCCTAGGTAGCACTCGAAGCGGGGGGAAAAAAAACGATGCCGAGTGTGCAAAAAAGGACGAGCACTGGTCCAGGACAAAGAGCCTTTACACAGTCGTCTCTGCGAAATTCGAGAAAAAATGATTTCATTTTTTAGAATCAGTTCGCGAAATGGGAACCACCTATGCCACACCTCCTGCTCGCACTCTCACATCTGAGGGCAAGAGAGAGAGGGAGAGGAGAGAGTAGAGGTCTCGAGTCCTGCGGCTTTACGATGGCCATTAAAGCCCCTAAAAAAATAACGCGAAAAAAATGAGAATTGTAAATCATGGTCGAAGCAGAACCTGGGACCTTGCATGGTCCTGGTTTTAGTATCTGGCTCTGGCTCTGGCTCTGACTCTGACTCCTCGAGGGGCAAAGTCAAACCGCAATAAAGTTGACACCGTCGTGCGCAGGATCTGAAAGTCCTGAAACTCTAGAATCGGTAATCGGCAGAACAGAACAGAACAGAACAGAACAGAACAGACCAAAAGAGAGGGTCCTTCTCTACATAATGTATTCTATGTACTGGCCATGGTCCTGTATCTGTATCCTGTATCCTGTATCTATCACTATGTATGCGGCAGGGACATGCGCAGAGCAATATATGCTCCACCTCTGGCGGCATGGACATGGACTCCTTTTAGCCACACCAGTGATTGCCGCAATCATTCTAGTTTCATTATCTCAGCTGCAGATTTATGGCCTGTCCTTCTACGCTGCCACAGGACTCTCTCCCTGGCCCCTGTCCCCCCTCCTTGGTTGACCCTAAAAATCTTGCAACTTTTCGGACAGCCGCAGCATCCATCAAGGGCAATTGATTTGATTTCCCGGGCATTTTATTGTCGATTTCCATTGAGCATTCACCATTTACCATGAACCCTGACCAATTGCAGTCGAATGCGGCCTACTGTCGCCCCCTCCCCTGCTCCGCCCCTGATAGATATGGAAATGTTGGCTAAACAAGGCATTCACTCCGTCTCCACCCCCCCGGTCAACCGTCCTCGCATTCGTAATTTGATTGTTGCGATTATCAGTTTGTTAATATCCATGAAAATGATGAGGCTGGCAGAATGAATCCAATGAGATCCGATAAACGGAATGGCGCATGGTCTCCATGGTCCCCGTTAATGGACAGCGTGCAAATTGCCACAGCACATCCCATGGATACAATACATATGTACATGTGTAGCGGAAGATACATTTGTACAACAGTATCTGTGTCGAGTCAGAGTCTCGCATATTTGTGGCGACAAACGGGTTCTACTCTCTGAGGCTGTGTGTGCCTGAAACGTGTGAAATTATTCCGATGCTTGCTGGCATCATCATTTTACAAAGATGTTTATTCATTGGCGAGCTGATTGCAAAACCCTCTAGGTGCCACCTTAAGATACATACATATGTATCTATGTCTGTACATCTATTGGCACACTCATAAAACATTTTCGACTTCGTTTAGCGCTCAAACTTGGGCTTGCAATTATGCTGGAAGTGAATGGGAATCAGAGGCCCAGGGGACCAGGGGATCTATGCTACGAGTATGTGCCCATCTTTAGATCTCGCCGTGGACCATGGACCCTTCGGTGGCTGCACTCCCCGTCTGATGATCACTTTATATTCATTGACCGTTAGTGTGAAATTCGTACCTCATAAAGACAGAGAGAGACAGAGACAGAGAGAGAGAGAGACTCCTTACAGATCCCCGGATTGCGGTCGCCTCCAGCCAGCCACGGACAAAAGCTGCCTTTTGTCGGCTCCGAAATGCTGGGAAAGCGGCCAGGGAGCACCCGTGCCATAAACCCCGGTCGGGTGGAGAGACGAGACAGAGGTGCTAATTCACTATTAAAAGAAATCAGAAACAGAAACCGAAACCAAAACCGAAACTGAAGTAAGTCCCGACGGCCACTCATCACGCCCCAATAAAACTTAATTTTGTTTGCACATCGAATACTCGCAGAGGAGGAGAGCCTTGGCTTGGCCTGTCTTGTCTTGGCTTGGATAATGCTATTGAATAATGCATTGTTTCCCTCTCGTGGAGGTGGAGACGTGGGAGAACTTCGCATGAAGTGGCTGCCATTCATTGCTGTGTATCTATGTATCTTTCTATCCATCCATCCATCCAACCATTGATTGCCCCCCCATAAAACACAAGATCTCTCGAGTTGAAATATGAGTATGAGTCGATGTCGGAGTCGGAGTCTGAGTCTGAGTCTCAGTCGAACACAGAGACAATGCCGAATTAGATACAAATGCCTAATTGATAATAATATCGCATTTATTCCCTCAACAGACCCGAAAATCGGTTAACTCTTTTATGAAAAGAGCAGATGCTTCTCACAGATACAGATATGAGGGTGGGTGTCGCCCAGCTGGTGTCCTAATCCGCCCGCCTTGAGCCGCATAGTCGCATAATTTTTCAATAAACAACTTGATGATTGCTACATTTCAAACAAGCCTAATCCCTAATCCCCACATGATTAATTATCAACCTGCCCGGAAAGTCAACACCGCCCGCCCTGTTCCGCCCGTGGGGAAACGAATTGCTATCCACTCACCCCACCCATTGCCACTCCCACAGCCACTGCCACTGCCACTCCCACTCCCAATTCTGCAGAGATTTTCCTGTTTTGCTATTTTTTAATTTACTGTATCCGAATCCTGGCGAGGCATTCCCCAGGGCAGCACGGAACAGAACAGAACCATCCTCATCCTCATCCTCCTCGCCGTGTATCTTTATTATCAAATCATAAAATGTTGCCACTTGTGTTGCATCCCCCAAAGGAAGAGCAGCCAGGCCGCAGCCACCACGAAAGGGGTGTCATACCAGAAGGGGCATAGTCAGTGGCATGGCAGTGGCAAGGGGGGGGAACCATCTGACTCCGATTCCGGGTCGAGCACTTCACAGACCATTTTTTACGGCTCGCTGGCAAGTGTCAAAACATGTTTTGATGCGAACGCTCAATTAGATATAGTACCAGGATCAGGGGTTGTAGATATCCTGCCTTCCTGCCTTCCTGCCTTCCTGCCTTCTGCTGACTCTGTTGTTGTTGCCTCTTTTTTTTTTTGCTATGCTAGGCGGGATTATGAGCAATTGACACCACACCCCTTTAAGGGCTGCTGCTGCTGCTGCAATTGAAACACATGTTTTGTCTGGCAATTAAATCCAAATTTGATTCCTGCCTGGACACGCACGCTTTCTCTCCATCCCATTTCTCTCTGTTTGCTTGCTATTTTGCCAATGATTTCTCAATTATGACAATTGTCGGAGGACAGAAGGCCAGGGACCAGGGACCAGGGGCCAGAGATAGGACCAGAATGAGTACACAACGGGTGAGGTGACAATTAATTAGCCGAGGACAATTCGAGGACACTGAAATTTATTTTGACTCGCAATGCAACCTGACGCGTGGCAGGGAGGAGGCCCACATCCACATCCACAAGGCTGCTGCCCTGCGGGGTACCCTCTCACTCCGCATCGATTCTGCTGGAATCGCATTAATACGCCTCGAACTCCGACGGAGCCCAGGCTCTGTTTTGATTCTGTGCTGATTCCTGGCTTGTGCCAAACCCCCGTGGATGCCCCCGTGCTGTCCTGTCTTGATGTCTCCTGCTTGTGGGTGGCCAAACACTGACAGTGCTCCGAAGGCCACTCCGAAGGCACGCTTGTCCCCGTTCCGCCTCTCAATTTGCACACAGTGTTTCCTCCCTACAGAGAGCCGGGGCGAAGGTCAGGCCAGCAGTTGAGGGGCGGAGAGGAGAGCAGCTGCCTTCGATGGCTCGATGTGGCTATGTGTCGATGTGTCGATGAGTCTATTTCAGGCCAGGTTTCTCCACAGCTAATCCAACAGCCAGGTCCATAAAAGCGCTGACAAATCCAACTCTCAGTTGGATCGTAAATCGCCAGGTAACCCAACGGATGGTGGTTCGGATTCGGATTCGGATTCGGATTCAGGTAAAATACATATGGCAAAAACACTTTAGATATAATTTCGAATGTTTTGTAGATTTATTTTTGATTTCGTGTTGGAACTTAAGCACTAATATTCAACTATAGATTACAATATCATATCATCCATCCAGAGGGGCATTCAATAAATAGGACTTGGGAGGGGGGTGGAGGGTGGATGGACAATCTAAGACTAATTTGTACAATCCTTTGAGGGAGCGGGGGAGGAGGACAGGAGGACATGCCTACGCCTCAGTCTTGTAGGGTTTGAAGAGCTTAGGCTTGGGCTCCGCCAGCACCGTCGTCGGTGGCGACATCTCAGAGGCAGGACGCTTGGCGCTGGTCATCAGGAGACCAGGAGCTGGCAGTGGGCTGGTGGTGGTGGTGGTGGTCGCAGTCGCCGGAACGGGGCTTCGGTCGAACACCTTGGTGTGGTCCGAGCCGACGGGGCTGAGCGAGAGGGTGGAGGAGTGCGGCGACGAGGAGGACTGCAGATCCAGCGGCGGTGTCTGTGTCTTGGGTACCGTGAGGGCCGCATAGCAGGAGGCAGAGGGCATGGCGGCGGCAATGGCTGCTCCAGGATATCCCATTGCAGAGGAGGCGGCGGCAGCTCCCATCATCCCGTGTGGGTGCATGTGCGGCGCGTGGTGCGGGCGTTCGGGAATGTGGTACGGACTGTAGCGGTATTGTCCGTACGGCGAGGGTGCGTGCCCTCCGACGGGGACCTGCATCGACTGCATGGACTGCATGGACTGCATCTGCTGCATCGACTGCATGGACTGCATCGAGGGCATCGCTGTCATCGTGGGAAGCATCGGATTGGAGGCGGCAGCTGCGGCGGCAGCGGCGTATGGGGGATAGGGCATGCCCACGCTATTGGCAGCCGCTTGCAGGATGGAAGCGGCGAAAGCGGGGTCGGAGTAAACGGCGGCGTAGGGCCAGGCGACGGCGATGCGCTGGCGCTTGTCCTTCATGCGACGGTTCTGGAACCACACCTTGATGGTGGATTCCGGCAGGTTGAGCTGGGCGGCAAGCTCGCAGCGACGCGGGCGGGACACGTAGTTTTCCTTGTAGAACTCCTTCTCGAGACGTCCAAGCTGATCGCGGGTGAAGGCGGTTCGGTAGCGTCGAACCGACGGATCAGCGGGAATCTCGGAGTTGCGGCTGCCGTTCAGCGAGTTGTCCGGACTGGAGAGGCACTCTGCAAGAATAGGGAAAAGACTGGGTTAGTAATCTGTCGAATGTGTCCATTGGGCTTTGCGGAAACCTACCATTTGGAGAAGGCGGCGGCGTCTGGGGTTTGCCGTATTGCGTGGCCATGAGGTCGACCACGAGGGGCTTCTGGTCCACGGCATTGGAGTCGTGATGGTGATTCTCCATGTTGTATGTTCGGTATCCGTGCATGGCTGATGTGTTCTTTGGATGTTGATGGGCTGGTGAGGGCGTTGTCTCTAAGAAGAACTGGAAACTGCGGTTCTCTTTTCGGAGCGGATCGAGTGTGTCTGGACTGTGCGACGGTTACAGTTCGAATGTGCCTCTCTCGGCCACCCCGCGGCCCTTATATACCTCTGCGCCCGTGCCTGCAATGGCCGCCGTCGCCCAGGCACTGCCCTGCAGCCAATCAAAGCAGGCAGCCAGGCGTTCGAGCGGGACAGCAGATGAGGGTGCTAATCTTGCGGTGCTTTGAGAGAGTCGCTGCTGCTGAGAGAGTCTCTGGTGCTGCTGCTGCTGGCTGACAATTATGCGACGATGAAGGCAATTACGATGCCGGAACAAAAGGGAGGGCACACAAAAAATAGGATGCCAAGCGGGGGGCGGACAGGCGGAGAACATAATCAAGTTATCATGGAGCTCGCTCTCGCTCTCTCTCTCTCTCCATCTCTCTCTCTTTGTGTGCACGGCAAGAGAGAGAGGAATTTGGTATTCATAGCGGATGAGCGAATCTTTTGTTTCGCTTGTCCGCAAGCAGGCGGACGCCCCAGAGCGAGCGAGACGTGATGTGCCCCCTTAATAATGCGACTTTATCGGCTTCATCAAGTATGATATGGTATAATGCTGCCCAGCAGTACGGACGGACCAAGGAGTAAGGAGTAAGGAAGAGAGTACAGGATGGTAGGGTGGTTGGTTGCTTTCACCAACTCCCATTATGTATATACATATGTACATGGATGCCATAGCCATAGCCATGTACATACATGTCCACGGGGGTACATAGAGTAGCATTTATCGATCGATGCTTGCCCAGCGAATTATTTGCTCTTTTATGAAGTCTTAATATAATGCAGCACGTTTAACGGCCTCACACTTGCCACACCACACCACACCACACCACCCACCAGCGTTGGGGGGGGCACGGGTGGAGGGGGATTCGCATTACCATTTTCCAGGCAGTATATCTACGATAATGGAGCACAATTTCGGGGGGGCGGGGGCGGCGGGGGCGGCGGGTCGGAACTTAATTTGAAAAGTTTCTCGGTTTCAGTTTCGATGGGAAAAACATTTATTATGATGATATAATCATCCAGAGAGGAGGCAACTGTACATACAGTACAGTGGTGGTGGAGAGGGCGGGGGCAGGGTTAGTGGGGTGTCATATGGGAGGGAAGGGGAGTAGTAGGGGCCTTGCGCAAGCGACATCGGTCATCGATTTACCTGCCGCGGCCCACAAGGGGTTAAGCTTGTGGCTTAGCGTTAAGCTCCGTCCGGTTGAGCGCAAAAAATAACCCGATTCCGTTAGTCCGTTAATGATCCTGCTGCCTGTGTGTGCGTCCCTTAATCTTAATCCCTTCGACATCTCATTATTATGTGTGTTTTATGACTTTCTAATGAAATTGCTAAATGGGATCGGTTTAGGGATCGCGACAGGGATAGGGATATAGGGATCTCTTGAGCATGCCCTAAAGCCCTTGGCTTTGGTCGGGTTCCAAGTCAAGCCCTCGGGCTAATCCTGGCTAAAACAAACAAACAAATAAACAAACCAGCGAAAGCGTTGACTGTGGAAACTCCTGAGGCCAGGAGACAACCCTTGGTTGCAAGGGTCCGCCGTCTTCCGCCTAACTCCGATTCAATTGAGGCGAAAGTAGAGCAATCTCCAGGGTTAGGCCGCGCAGCATGTTACCAAATTCCAGTTGATTGTTCAAGATGCTGCAATAAAATCTAACTCGTCGGTCGGCAACGGCAACGGCAACGGCATCGGCATCGGCATCCACATGAGGCAAGGCAAGAAGTGGCAAAGGAGGAAAGTGAAACCAAAACTGCGACTCGACTGGAAATATGAAAATTGACTAATAATCTTGCTGATGGCAAACGGATTAACACAGAGCAGAGAGCACACAGGGAACCGTCAAGGAACCGTCAAAGAACCTCATCTCGCGAAACGGAACCCTGGTCCTTGCCCATTGTTATGCATTCCATTCCCGAGTAATGCATCCTTCCTGCAATGCTCTACTGCTCTACTGCCCTGTCCATTGCGAGTTAGTTAAAATTATTGGGTTATATTGCGCCGCAATTTGCATTAGCATTAACTCGCCAGAGGCTCTACCTGGAGCGATCTCCTCTCTTGGCCGCACTGGAAAAGGCCCAGTGCAAGCCTTCCCGACCCGACCCGACCCGTCCAGAACAGAACAGAACCCTACCCACAACCTTGCCTATTGTGCCACCATTGTCTTTGACTCTGTGTGTCCGCGAGAGTGTCCCTTTTTGGATTGGGTTGAGTTGAGTTGAGTTGCAACTTCAACCGGCCCAGCCATGGCTTCAGGGCGACAGTGCGGCAGCGACAGTAAATACCCTTTATGGCAGACCTTTCACCAGGCGAAAGTGTCGAGCTGTTGCACTGTCGAGGATCAGTACCTGCCCCTGGCCATTGTCCGGCCTCAACACTCCATCCAAGAACACTTTCTGGCCTTTCGCTGCGGAATCAATACCGGGAAGCCGAAGCCGAAGACGAAGACGAAGCCTCTAGCGATCCTCCCGTTGTTGCTGCTTTATTGCACATTTTGCACGCACAAAGCGCCGATCCGATCTCGCTGATTATGTCCGTCATCATGGGAAGTAAATGGCGAATACTGGACGGAGGGCTGGGCCTCTATCTTTATTCCCTTCCCTTACAGAAAGTGGGAGACGAGACAAGACGGGTAACAGAATTGGCAAAGGAAAGGCCTAGACACTGTGCAAAAATTGGCCATGCCATAAAAATGCCGAGCAAATTGTACTGCCATGATATCCGCCATAAAATAATAATTATTATCATTATTATTTTTTATACAATACGGAAAGCATTCGCAAACAAAGCTGTGCGAATCTTAATAATGGCCGAAAAGCACCTGCTTAAGATTGTTTCCGATTTGATTTCAATCTTAATCGGAAGATAAATGTACTGTTTTACCTTCTTAGATCTTCTATCATATGTATGATACTTCGTAGTATGTTTAAGCCTGTAAGATCCTCGAACATTTGGTAAATGGAATGCTGCTAAATTGGTTAAGATTATTGTTTTTGTATGAATTCCATCAGTAATTCAGGTGAGACCAAGTTGCAGACTTTCCCCCAATTTAAGACAAGACTCCACCCTGGACAGTGCCATGCATGCCATCCCCCGGGGGACAGAGAGTAAGACAGTCAGTTCCAACCCCAAGGCGAACTATACTATGTACAATCCAATACCATGAAAACACACACAGTTTTCCAATAATGGACAATTTCAGAGCAAATGGAAAAACAAATTCAAATAATTTATGCCAGGCCCGGCCGAAGGAACAGCCTCATAAAAATATGAATGCCGTAGCGGAAAAGAACAGAACAGAAAACACAGAGAGAAAAGAACATATCTTAAAAATGAGAGCACTGAATGCGGACGTGAATGTGAGTTATGGCCACAATTAACAGGTAACTAGAACGCTCTAACCTTGTGGAAGACCGTAGTTTTTCCAGGAGCACAATAAAAACCCGTGAAGAATTAAAAAATTAGAGCAGTTTGCTGCGTTCGGGGAAAAAAACTAGCGCAGCGAAAAAAGCGCACAAAGGGAACAAAAAACTTGATCTACTTTCCTAATATAGACATACAGACATCCTCCGAGGGCCGGTCGAGGTCCCAGCGCTACAGGATACGCGCCCATTCCGCGAACTAGATCACCCGAGTGCCCATAAAAATCTGCATATACCATACCATAATTCCCGTCCGGAGTTTGTTTTGCGGCCAAACAATGGGAGTGGAAATGAAAATGGAAATGGAAATGGACCATAAACAATAAAGCATAAGGAGAGCAGAGCAGGGCACAAAAATTAGAACAAAAAACTGATCTAGTTTTCTAATGCAGCGAGGTCGTCGTCATCGTCGTCCTGCCATGGCCAGGATGCATCCTCGGGAGCAGCATCCTCATCGCCGGTCGCCGTTGTTCTGCGGTCGTCGCGCTCTCAGTTCCGGCGAAGGTGCACCAATAAAAAGGCGCGTCCCGGGACTCTACCTAGTTTTTTCGGTCCAATTTTTAGTGGAAATTCGAGCGCGTAATAAACTGTAGTCCAGGTCCCTTCTGGAACAACGACTAACTGCCGTAATTAGGATGTTTGTAGGGCAGCAGCGAGGATCGCTGCCAGGTCGGAGCACAGGCCGTGGAAAAAAGTGACAATGGACAATGGAAAAAACTCATAAAAAGAGCAACAAAGTGGTCTACAAAAAAAAAATTGGCTCGCTTTTTGTCGAGTGTCGTGTAGGGAACAAAAAGAGGCCACAAAAAGTGTCCACGAGCCCGGGGCTCACAATTGAGTCAAATAATTAGGTTTGGCCAGAGGATTGTTCCCTCTTTGTGTGGGCGAAATGATTAGCGGTTTCTTTTTTAGGATCTTATGGCATGTCTCTGGTTTTAGGGAATTGGAAACTGGAGTACAATCATCAATGGATTGCCAGACATCGAAGGAAAGCCTGTAGAGTGGGGATTGAAAATGAAGATGGGGCTGAGGCTGGCCTCCCCATTGGGGTGGCCAATCAATCGGACTCGTTTACTATGAGTACAGAGCACTACGGTGGGCGACCAATCCAGTTTCAACTGTGACGAATGCATCTTTTGGCAGGAGGAGAGCAGGAGAGTACCAGCCAACGGAGAGATTCGCCAACAAACACTGCTGGAAAGCCGCAGACTGCAGAAAATAGAAACCAGAGGACACATACACACAGTGCCAAGAGTGCCAAGAGTGCCAAGAGTCGGTAGCAGTAGTCCACCGCATTGACGAATCACATCAAAGTGGAACACGTAGGGTCCTCTAGCTCAGGGTCAGGCAACGGCATCCTGCTAACAGACATGTCAAATCACGGGAAAACAACGACGACAGGACACAGTGCCGCCAAAGGAGCGCTGCCAGAAGATACCCATAGATGCAAAAGGACAAGGAGATGCCGTGCCGAGAACGAGACCCAAAAGCAGCATTGACTTACCGCAGCAAATTCGCGCTGGCTGTGCGAGAACAGCGGGGAACACCATAATATTTTGGTTGCAACGGACATGGACTTGGACTCGGAGGAGCGTTGAGGAGAATCTGGGCAATGCAAACATTTTCAATGGAATCCGAGCCCTGCACAGCTAGCATCTTTATTGATGAGCAATTAGCCACGGTGAGTGGCGGTTTTCGAGTGAGCTACAGGACTCTGGCTACTCGCAGGACTCTGCGACTGGGACTCCGATTCGAATTTGGACTCTGCTCTGCAGGAGCAAACCCACAGCTTCAGTGGCGACGTCGAGCAATCTTTTAGAGTCTGTTTCTGTTTCTTTTGCTGTTTCCTGGTTTTGGCGTAAATTTGTGAAAATTGAGTCGTTCCGGTCGGGACAGTGCCCGTTTTTGGGAGGTACTTCTGTAGCAATTTTATTTGTATCGTAGGTGTTGTATTTGTCAACATTTAGCCAGGACTAGGCCCAGATCCGATCCTTCACAGACCAGAACGGAGTGGAACGGACATGGGCGGTACAGGCAGGTCGGTGGCAGTGGATTAGACGAATTGTGGGCACGGATTTGAAATGCCTACTGCAGCACTAATTGGGCTTCACTCTGCATGGTCGATAGTTAGGGAAACAGAGGAGTGGGAGAGGCAAAAGGCAGTTTTAAGGATGCGTTTATCTGCGCTGAGGATGTGCTAATTTTTTACTCAACAGATCGCATAAATGAGATAGGATCGAAATAATCAGTACCATGAGGAGGGCACCGTATTACGAGTAGAATTACTTTAATTACATACATATATACAATACAATTCAATTCATTGGGATAGGATTTTGAATTGTTTTACATCAATTAACATACATGAACCCCTAACAAAAAAAATTGCACGAAATATTAAAATTTAAAATAAATATTAAATTCAAATAATAATGTAACATCCAATGTATTTGCTACATTCCATGTCCTTGTCCACTCTATTTTACACGCCTCGAAGGTATGCAACACTTTTCCTCACTCAATAACGTAACGTAATATTCTAGCGTTGTTAGGCCAACGATTTCCCACCAGTGACCCTGCGACAGCAATCACACCTTTTCGGTATTTTTTGAGGTCAGTATAACGGCATATTTTGTTTTCATTTCATTTATATTAAATTTCATTTTCAACGTTATTCCAATAAAAGCAAGTATTTAGAATAAGCCAGTCAAGTAGAAAATTGTTATATGGGCATAGATGAGTATTCTATTTGGCTGAAAATATTCGACGGAAGATAAAAAACGAGGAATATGATACATTTTCGGTATTTTTTAGAGTGAGACCGTATATTTTATTGGGACTTGCTCTCTATTTAGTGATGGGAGGGATTTTCCCCCGCCACAATGTCCTTTTTTTCCTCAACAATGTCCCTTACATTCCATACTCAATTACGTTTTCTTACGTTTTATGTTGCTGGCAACACTAATTTGTATGGGCCAGACTCATGTGCCGTGAAATCGAGCAGCATTGTTCCACAACATTGCGCGGATTGAGCAACATTTTGCATACCCTGGGAAATGGATGTTATAGAACTGAGAAAATGTTTGTCATCTCATGCACCAATACAGGCCAAAACTAGTCAGTTTCTGCTTTAAAGGTATTTCAACGATATTTTGAAGGTTTTGGTATTCTTGCAGAAACCAGAATGGGTATCGGGATCGAGATATATTTAGAAGACCCTAATTTTATATCCAAAACATAACAATCTGAGATCATTTCTTTATTAAATACGTTTTAAAACAGCTTGGAAAAACAGTTTCTTCATATATATAAACGAAATAGGGTATACCTGTGCCCAAACTCCGGTTCACATGACATTTCACACTCGCTTACGTTGCCACTGTTTTTTGTTGACCTTTTTTGCTTAAAACTTGTTTTCTACACTATACAATAAAAGAGAGTACTTAAAAGTTTTCAATCAGGTAGAATATGTATTCATCAATGGCCTTAAATGATGTGGGGAGAACTAAGGGTTTTAGTTAGGCAGCATTATTCAACGGAATAAAGAAATTGAAAAATTTTAACGATTTTTCTCTTACGTTTTATTACGTTTCATTTGTTTGACCTTTTTCGCAAAAACCTTTTTTGAAAGCAAAATCCAATAAAAGCAAGTATTTAGAATAGGCCAGTCAATTAGAAAATAGATTCATCAATCGTATAAAACTATGTGGGCATGGCTAAATGTTCTATATAGCTGAGAATATTCCACGGAAGATCAGAAACGAGTATTTATTGGTGAATAACCGGTTGACAACAATGAATACCGGCAACACTAATTTTCATACCCTAGGGAAGGATGTTATAGAGTTGAGAGAATGTTTGTCATCCCAGGCTCCGTAGGTATCAGGATCGAGATAAATACATACAAAATACTAATAATACACATGAATATGTCTAAAACGTATCAATTTGAGAAAAGGTCATAATAAATTACGTTTGATCTTGATATTATATTAACGAAATAGTGTGTACAAAGGCCTATACACGCATCATGTCTTCAATGTCTTATTTGTAACCACCCGAAATTAAAATAAATACAATACAACGACGTTTGGAGTATATTTTATGGAGTTTCTGGAGCGGATTCTTACTCACTTGTAGGGAGCCCACCAAGAACCCCTACAATTTGGCACGATCCACACGGCCAGCTCCCGTTATCCGCCACCCTAAAAACATATAGTAGTAGCAAATTATTGTTGTCCTTTTTTGTTTAAACCTTATTTTGGACGCAATCAATAAAGCGAATCCTTAAAAATAGCCAATGTTGGAGAAAATTGACTAATCATATTAGCAGTGTGCATTGCCCCCGTCGCTACCACATGATGACGAATGTTGCTGCCCGATGCAATAAGGTCGGATTTACTTAAAACGAATAACTCCCCGACCTTGCTACATCTACATCTTCCCCCTTTAAATAAATCTTTTGAAGGGAAAAGAATTCGATACATCTCGAAAGAACATCTGTTGGAACTCTCCATTATTTAAAAACATATAATGTGTACTGGTATATTTAATACGGCGTCTTTTTGTGGGATTTTATCTTGGTTTTCAGCTTGCCACTGTTGCTCACGTTTCCAGTGGCATCCTGCGTCCAAACGCTAACAATGCCGCTCTCGCCGCCCGTCACCAGCAGCTGGCGCTTGGCATCGAATAGACTGTCCCGAACGATTTGCTTATTACCTGCGAAATTGGCCAATGGTTCGAGCTTTTCTTTGGATAGGACGCTCACAGAGCGCAGGATCTCTCTGCAAGGACAGTTATCAGAAGAGGGAACACAAATTGAAGCATTAAGACTCACCCGCGATTGTAGTTAGTGCCTGCCAAAAGGAACACGCCATTGTCCTCCAGATTATGGGCATTTACCAGGTTGAAATTACCCGCATTCTTGCGTCGAATAGCCTCAGTGATATCGGACCGTTCAAACGAAGCCACCTCGTCGCCCTCCTCGCACTCGTAGCTCTTAAAATCATTGGTATGGGTAATACACGAGATGATGTCCTTGTCGTAGACGTTACGATGCCAGTTCAGTCGGTGCACACTACTCTCCGTGTTGATGGTGTTCTGCAGGGCCTCGTCCTCGTCGGTCTGTTTGATGTCAAACAAATTGATGAGGCCATCGGTGCCTCCGGTGCAGAGCATATCTGGATTTCGATCGTGGAAGCGCACTGAGGTCACATCATCTTGGTGGCTCTCGTAGAAGCCACCCAGTTGCTTGCGCTCTCTCACATCGAAGAACAGTAGATGGACACTGCCGATGTATTGCTCCGTGCCGCAGCAAATAATTCTGCTATTGGCATTCCGATCAAAGCATGTTAGGGATTTGGGCACCTGTGGGAATTGTGCCTCTGGATCGCTTTTGTACTCGAATCTGGCCTGCTCGCCTGAGGTGCGTAGGTCAAAGAGACGCACCATTCCATCAGTGGTGCCCACAAGTAGGGCATCGGAGCCCTCATCGAGAAACTGCACTCCACAGATGGTAGCGCTCGTTTCGGTATTTTCTTTGGCGGGTACATCTTGCAAGGTTTTCAGTCCTCCGGCCGTCTCCAGATCGTAGATGTGAACGGCTGTGCTGGACAGACCGGCAGCTATCCGGGTGAATCTGTGGTCTGCACCTAGACTCAGTACATAGTCCCGCTTCAGCGAAACCACCGATTCATCTTGCGGCCTGTACTGCAGCCGGAATTTGGCGGCAAGCTCTTGAACGCTACAGGTGTCCTCGTCTTTGATGTCTGCTTCGTCCTCGGAGCTGGGCAGGTCCTTGGTGACTGCTTCTGTAACACCAGGATAGTTAATAGTCAGTTGATTAGTTCATTATCGCTCACCTTCCAAATATTTGTCAAAATCAGTCATTTTTGTTGTTCACACGTGCTGGCTGGCTTCAGAGTTGGCAAACTAGCTTTTTCGCAAACTACTGTTGGCTGGAAAATATAGCTCTCTATTATGTAAATAGTAAGGCAGGGGCTTGTCCCTAGTATATAAATATTTTTTCTCAGATTTATGGGATTTCATTATCTTCAGATACTGAAACTGAACATTTTTGAATAGTTTTTTGTTAAGTTCGTTAGCTAGTTTAGAGCCAAATCAGAAACCGTCAGCACTACCTATGCTCACCTCTTCTTCCACCGCAAACATTTGCCATTCACCACGACCAAGCAACACCAAAGGGCGGATAAAGTCAACAATTTGAAAAAGATCATGGCAACAGTGCCATGCACCGCCTCCACATTGGAGTCATTGGAGACAATGTATCCACTGAGCGGATACAATTGTGGTGGTGTCGAAATTATTTCTTTAAAATGTAATTTAAGCACCCAGTAAATACCGTTTAATATCGCAATGAAGTTTTATTTATACAAAGGTGAATTTTACAAGAAGCCATTCCAAGTAGGTGGTTGCCATAAGTAATTTTTGTAGTAAATGTTCCTAAATATCTGTCGTTTCTTTTTCGCTGAGGTTTCCTGATTGCTTTTCTTGACTTGACTTGACTCGACCGTATGCTAGTATATCTATATGTATATCTCTCTCGCTGTGTCTACCGACGGTCTATATGTTTTGTGGGGTCATATAAATAACCAACAAAGTTTTTTTTTAATTCCTGCGCACTTTCTATAACACCAAGAACTCTTCAACAAGCAACTATGTATTGAATAATTAGATATATGCAGGAGGGGGTAACTATATATATACTCGAATATCGCCTATTCACATGAAGTCATCGTAATCTTCGGAAAAATCATTGCCATACTTTTTGTAATCATCAATATCCTGCAAGCAAAAAGGGTAATCAAATTAATGACGTTTTCTGTGTTGTCGATTGGGCGTGGACCTACATCGCTCTCTGTGCGAAGCGTGGCCTTTCCCTTGTTCTTGCCGGCGGCTTTCTTGGCAATGGCCTTTTCCATTTTGAGTTTTTCTGAGTGCAAGATTTCCACGCTCATCTTGACCTTCTTAATGTCAGCGGCGCTCACTTGATATGGGGGAATGGAATTCGTGTTATCATTTCGTCGATCTGAAGTCTCAGAAAATCAGATCACTCACGGTGTATGCATAGACCGCGCACTAGGTCTTCGACGAATTGTGGGAATTCCGCAGACTCGCGATACTGGCCGACCTTCCAGCTGAGCGCAGAACCGAACTCCTTGAACTGCTCCTTGGTCTCCGGGTTGAAGGAGTCTAGGCCGTTGCCGTTTGTTTCTGCACGCGTCACTCCGAATGTGTCCAGGGCGTGGTTCAAATCGGAGTCTTCCTGGATCTTTTGCAACCGCAGCTTCTCGGCCAATTTCTCCTCGGGTGTGAGGCTGGCCAGCCGTTTCGCTTCCTTCTCCTCTTCAAGCCGCTGTTGCCAGGGGAAGAATTTTATTATCTTGTTGAAAATCTAAGATAAACCGAATCTTGCTTACCGCTTGTTCTTCTAGTTTGGCTTTCAGCGCTTTGCTTGGCTTGGTTTTGACTGGCACATCTGTTATTGTGGGCTTCTCGTTCTCCTCGTCCTTCTTCTCCTCCTCATCTTCCCAGCTCTCCTACAGCCGCAGAGAGAAACAGTCAAATGGTGAGTAATCAAAAACTGTACACGTGTTCAGGCCACAATGAAAGTGAAAACTGATTAACAAAAGCCAGAGTGCACGAAAACAAGTTTAAGTTGTTGCTTTCGTTGGCGTTTTTGTTGTTGTTATGCAGCATATGCTGGAAGATTTGCTTGTCAAATGATTTACTTGGTATGCGCACCTTCACATCGTCGTCGTCGTCCTCCCCCTCCCACTTGTTTACGGTGCTTGCTGCATTTTGAAGTATGATTTCACTGTCGGCTGCAGATTCTGTGGTGCCACATCATGAGGGAAAGGAAATAAAAGAGAAATATGGACGGTTAGCGTTGCGCGTAGACGTAGATTGGCTAAAAATACGCATCCAAGGTTGGTTGCATGGCAGCGACCACGTTTATTGTCCACCAGCGACGCCCCCGCGTGCCGCCCCACTCACCCCAGTCGTCGGCCATGGCTGTATGTTTGATGTGTGTCCAACTGGCTTTTGTGCTTTTGATGGTTCAATATGTGTTCCACTAACTACGTCACTGTTCCAGCAGCGCTGCAATTACGGGAATTTAACAAATAAATCCAAAATCGAAATCAGCAAAGATCAGTGTGACCGCAGATTTATCGGTAAGATATACGGTCTGACCCTCAGAAATATACCGATTACGGTATATCATTGCATTTTTAAAATATACCGTAAATATACTGACGAATTATTTGTATTCAAGTTCCATCATATTCCTCGATTTTGATATTCAGTTTAATATTATTCCTTTAATAGGACCCTCAGCCCATGAATCAATTTTCTGCAATATTGGTTAGGTATAAATACTCATTTTTATTTGATTGTGTGTAAATAAAACGTACGTGAAATGGAAAGGGGACTTATGCTGCGGAAAATTATTGCGATGAAAAATACCTCCACGAAATAGAGAGCAAATACCAATCAAATATACAGTCTCTTTCTTGCCTTTTTCCGACATTTTTGAAAAACTTAAGGGTTTTAATGGCACAAGATCAGCTTCGATGCTGATCACGAATTGTTATAGGCCCTTTATATTAAATATAATAATAATAATAGGCTATTTGGCTTGTTTTCTGATCTGCTAGTTTGTGTAGTTACTACTCGTGATAGTTCCACGATAGGCAGAACAGGGCTGAAATATTCTGAAAATAAAACCCGACTGAAACCATAACTCAACTTTTTGCCACCACTATGAAACTGAGTTTTGCCCAAAACTAACACCAAATAAATAGGGTATTAGAACGATATTAGCAGGTTCAAACTTGAAAAAATCAGTTGTCCTGACAGCAAAACAGCTAGAAATCGTTGAAAGTAGGCGGTTTTTCAACACCTAAACTGGCTGCCACATCAGATTCTCGTGTTTGCCTAAATACGAAAAATGTCAACAAATTAATAGTGAATTGAAATAAACAATAGGAGAAGCGGCTGTGTGTGTTTCTCTTCATTTCAATGTAGTGGGCCTCGCCTCCCTTGACCGCAACACGTCAGCACCCGACATCTTCGTTTCCTCTTTGCCGCAGCATTCGATCCGCCGCCGATAAAAGAATTCTGTGAAGAATATACATACACACACAAACGGTGAGATAAGTGGAATATCTTTCGACCCAGAACGATACAACAATATCCAACGATTCGAAGCCGCAGGAACGTGGCAGCAATTTAGAAACAAAACGAAACCGAATTCGAAATGGCCCAAACAAACGTTAATATGGGCGGACACATGCAGGTGCCGCAAGAAGGTGGTGGCAGGTTCGCTTTCGATCTGAATAGGTAAGACCCATCCTTTGCATATCTTATAGTAGATTATAATTTTGTACCCTTTTACGAAGCCTGCCCAAACTCCAAAGCTTGCCCTCTCCACTGGAGCTAATACAGTTGATCCGCAGCGCGATGCGCCCCTGGTCAGTCTTCTTCAACGTTCACAACTTCAAGACGGCCGTCAGCATGCCGCGTTTGACCAGCCGCGTGAAGCGCAATCTCTCCTATTTCCAAAGCAATTACATATTCGTATTTATTGTGCTGATGATCTACTGCCTGTGAGTATCATCTCGTGATCGTATAAACAACTGTTGTGTAAACACTAACTGTGTCCCATTGTTACAGCATTACATCGCCGCTCATATTGCTGGTGTTGGCAGGTGCCGCCCTCCTATGCCACAGGGTGCGTTCTCGCAATGTAAACATCACCGTGATGGGCACTCAAATGACGCCGCGTCAACAGCTCATTGCCGTTAACCTAGGGGCGACGCCCTTGCTCTTTCTGGTGGGTGCAGGCGCACTACTATTCTGGACACTGGGGGCCTCCTTTTTTGTCATAGCCTTTCACGCGATATTCTACAATATCGACGCTATTGTGACGGAGGAAAATGAGGGCTTTCTAGCCGAAGTTGTCTGACCTCCAACCACAACATGAATCTTGATAGAATCTTTCCAAACAGAAGCAAAGAATTTGCCGCTAAGGGGCCTTATTAGTGGATAAACTGCAATATACGATACAAACACGTATTTATAACGAATTTTAGTTAAGTTTTCTTAGTCTAACCATCGTAGACTTACAATAAAAACCAAACAAACACAGACGATTCGATGATGTTTCATAAGACTATATTCCCGTTTGGCAAATCAAAAGGATTGAGCGCAATCGCAATAGGAAAATGCATTCAAATATATCAAATGATGACAGGGAGAACACAACTAAAATCGAAGAACATATAAAAAGAGTGTGTACAACTAAGTGGAATCTTTGAGGTACAGGTAGTTAGAACTAGAACTAGGCTAGGAATGATTTTTGAGTTAGATGTACATAAGTCTTGGTCCTGTCTAGGCGTATGGGGCCCCACTCGCCAGAGTCTCTTGCTCCTCATCGCTGGCCTGCTGGTCGAGCTTCTCGAAGCCGTTGCGGTCCCTGTCCAGCAGTCCACCCAGCTTGAAGCCCTCGGCCTTCTCCCAGGCATGACGCCGACTGCGGGCGCCAAAAGGCAGGCAACCTGTGAATGTTAAAGTCAATGATTTTGGATGAGTTTCTGGACATAAAAAGGAGAGGTGCACTTAACAGACCATGCATTAGACGCGCGACACGCGACACGCTCTTACATGCTCTCTTACGAGTAGTTGTGTGAATTTTGCACTGAAACAAACCATAAACGAAAACAGAACACACTTAAATTTAGAAAATGTATTGTTGTATATTGCATAAAGGGGTTTGTCTGTTGTGTATGCAAAAAAAGCACCAAAAAAGGCAACCGATGATTAGCATTCAAATAATTGGGCGGAAGGGAATGTGGCCGGAAATCAACTTAAAATTATGTGTATTACAAATTATAATTATCAACTAATATATGATAGTAGTAACACAAATACAAATATGCAAATGGATATGCACAATTCGGTTACGAATTAACACCAGTATAAAATAGGACACAACTACATATAGGACATTGAGTGAGTGTGATTAACACGTTGGATTAGGATACTGAGATTGTTAGCACAGACTCTGGTTGGACGCAGTGAGCTTGCGGTACACCAGATCGCTCGGCGGGGCAGCGCTGCTGATGGCTTGATTACCTCGTTTTCGCCGCCTGGCCATGAGCAGGGCCAGCGCAAAGGTGGAGCCGGCAAATATCAGCATTAACGAGGCTACCAGTACGGCCTTGCCACTGGGATGGTGTCTCGTCGTCTGGCTAGCGTCCGCTCCTGCTGCCGGTGCTTCGGCGGGCACACCACTAATACTTTGGACATCCTTTGTGGCCGACAGTGACATGGGCTTGGCCAGGGATTTGTGCAAGAACTTGTGGATGCGCATGGGATTCAATTCGGCCACATAGATCTCATTACCATCGGCTGTTACGGCCACATCGTGGGGATTCTTGAATTCCAAATTGTTTGGCCCGAATTTGGAGACCAATTGCCTGTTCCGCATGCTCATCACAAAGCCATGCACTTCGTTGTAATGATCCGGATGGAAGCCCAACTCAGCGTTGGGACCATTGACAATGACCAGTTCTCCACCTGGAAGGGAAAGAAAGGTTTGTAAACTGCTTTTCTCGCAACCATTATCAAGACGGGCCACGTAGACTAACCTGCTGCCGGGGTATAAGCCATGCTGAACAGTCGATCGCCAATCAGTTGATTGTGGTACTGGGAGTGGAAGGTGCCGTTGCTCGAGTAGAAACACTGCACCCGTCCGTTCTCCCGGTCGGCGGCACAAAGCAGCTCCAACTCTGGAACCAAAGTCAGGGCATGCGGAATGGCGAAGTAGTTCTGTGGAGCCACATCATAGGAGACGCCGGCAAAGGAGTTCTGGCCCCATGTCAGTATTAGCTCGCCCGCCTTGGAGTACTTGAGGATGCGGGCATTGCAGTAGCCATCCGCCACAAAGAAGTCCCCGTTGTCCAGGATGGCCACTGACGTGGGTTTGCAGAACTTCTTGCCGGAGCCCGGCTGGAAGGCCACACCAAGCGTCAGCAGTGGCTTGTTGCCAGCGCCGCGTGCTGCAAATTTGAACACCTGGTGCATGGCCACATCCGTCAGCCAGACATTGTCCTCGGGATCCACAGTCAGGCCGTGTGGCATGTAAAAGCTGCACGAAACAGAATATTTGTTGCAGATTTGTTGATGACAGTTATTCAGAGCTTACAAGTTTTTGCCCCAATCGTATTGGACGCGGCCGGTTGCAGGCTCCAGTGCCAGAACAGTGCTCTCTCGAATAGGTCCGCGGTACTTCTCCCGATACTGATTGTCATTGTCGAAGGTGTCCTGGCTCCAGATGCGGTCCACTCGATGGAAGATGACCACATTGCCGGCCTTGTCGAAGCTCACGGCTGTCACAGCGCCCAGCTTCACATTGTTCGCTGGCCAGGCATTCTGGTAGATATAGGCTGTCGGAGGATTAGCATGGAATACTCTTTCTGAGTGGAGAATGGTGTGCCACTTACTGGTATTTAGTTTGGCTAACTCAGTCTTAACGTCGGGTGTGGCCTGCTTGGAGCGTTGTGGCCAATTAATTTGCGTGGAGCCGGCTCCGGCTCCTTTGAGGATCTGCTGCAGTCTCTCGTTGTTGTTGATGCTGGCATTGTTGCTGATGTCAATGTTTTGCAGATAACGCGGCGAACTTTGACTCTGCGGAAGGGGTTTGAGATTAGGCCAGGTATGCAAACAATCAGTATATATGTATGTACATATATGCCACGGGAGCACTTGCACAGCACCCACACACAGACAACAGATACGCACACTCACACATCGCACAAGCCATTGTAACCATATGTTACCCTATTTTCCGCTCTCTGACCAACAGGCGACCCAGCTTTTCACAGATTTACGGAATACACAAAGAACTAATTACCTCGGAAAGCGTATGTTGTAGGAAGGATGTTGCCAGCAGGAATATGACGCTCCAGCGTCTGTGAGGGTTGGTGGAATGCATTGCGTATTAACCAACTAAGTGACTTGTGTGCCAGAGATCAGATCTCGTCTGGTGAGAAGGGGTTCGCTCTCAGAAACAAATATGCAAATAAAATAATTACAACGCAGACATTATTTTTCTGTTGAATGAGATTCAGCTGTTCGGCAGGCGTTAGGGTATTATTAGTGCGTCTGCTTTGGTCACACTCTCGTGTTTTCGCAGATTTTTGTTTGTAAAAAACACAAATAAATAATATGTCAAATACAGAAGTGGATAAAAGCATCGAGTTGATCTCCAAGACGGAGGAGCTGGCCGACAAGATATTGGCCAACAAGCACGAGCTGACGGTTATGGACAAACGGCGCCAAGAGACACGTGAGGCACTGCGCCTCGTGGAGAAGTCGGAGGAAAAGAAGGCCTGGATCACCATTGGCAGCATGCTGGTGAAAATGCCGAAGGACAAGGCAGTGGAGCTGCTCAAGAAGGGTATGTAAGAGAGACATTCCTTTGGTTATGTATCTAATGCAATGATTCCGCAGACCAGCAGCAGATCGAAAAGGAGATAAATCTGATTTACTCGGAGCAAAAGGTTCTGGTAAACAAGCATCGAGACCTGGAGTTCAAGTCGCCATTTTCGGGCACCAATATCAAGGCACTGGACCGACATGAATTTAATGCTCTGAAAGCGAATCTTCACTTGTAATTTTAAGAAATAAATTAGGTACAGATAGAAACATTTTAAAGTGTGTTTAGCACTGAGAGAAAAAACAAGACCAAACCAAAAAAACCAAAATCGATTTTGTCGAAAGAGCAGAGCTCATTATATTCTTTTAATTTGAGATTTGTTTGACCAAAAAACCTAGCACCTGATCTGAATCAAAAAAATTGTTCCATTAACAGAAAGATAGCTTCGGAATTTTGGATAAACCATTCGCAATCAACATGCTTTTTATCTTCTCATAAACTAATACAATGAGTTTCAGGATTAAAATTAAAAAATATGATATCCATATAATTGGCTTTCATTAGACTGCCATAATGAGATTCCATTTGTCTGCATTATTGCATTTTCTAGCCGGCTGAAAGATAACTGCTGCTAAATTTTCAAAGTCTTAATAGCCTGCAATTGACTTGCTTTCAAACAAAACTTAAATTTTTAACTGATTTTATTTTAAGCAAACTCATAACAGTGTGACCGTAAAGCATGTGCACCTAGTCACATTCTGCCGAGATAAATATATGCGATATAGCTCCCATCACTAAGTGTGACCACATATTTCAGCACAAACTTTACCAAAAATACCATCAAAGCTCGCTACAATTCCGCTCCCGCATTTGTTGTTGACAATACAGCGTTCCGTCGTCTTGTTGTCTCTCTGGCTGTTATCGGAAAATTCCATTTAATTAAATTGATTAAGTTTAAAAGCGTATAAATATTCTACAGACAGCTGTAGCAAAGTGAACTTCCGTTAAGTGGGGAAAATAGCCCAAAATTTGAACCACAATTTTCATAACTTGCGAAAACGTGCGCTTACGTCGGTTTGCGTGTGAGAGAGTGTGTGTGGTGAATTCTCCCACATACCCCCCTGCAACCGCCCACCACTCTCGGTTCGGTCAGCGCGCAAAACGTAAATTTCACTGCAAATAAATTGCTTTGCTCTTATCTCGAGGCGCGCGCGCTCGCATCATGAGTATGAGTGTGTGTTTATGTGTGTGTGCGAGGGAATGTTGTTAATTAATTTACAAAAGTCGGTCCTGCTGCTCCCCTCAGTGCAATATCCCCCGTATCTACTATATATGTGTTGTTGGTCCAATAACAGATAAAACGTTGAGAAACGAAGGGCACCCCAATCGAAAGTGTGACCTTACAACAATAACAACATAACTACCGTTGCAGTTGGATTGCATTCGGGGCAGCCGCCCAACCACCCGACCTCTCCTCCCCAAGCTTCTGGCTTAGAAAACGAAAGTAAAGTTATTTTTCATGTACAAAGTAAACAGTCTCTCTGAGTACGCCAAGAGAGAGGAAAACGGAAAGAGCACGGAAACCAGAGAGCGCCAGAGAGGGAGGGGACTTGAACACTTGGCCTTGAACTTGTGCGGACGGTAAGTTGAATTCAGTTTTTTTGCCTCGTCTTCTTCGTCTTCTTTTTCGTTGCATTTCTTGTAAGTTGTGTGCGACAGGGGGGGAGAGCTATACACCACGATGCAGTGCATTTGTAAAAGTGGGCTTTCCAGTTTCCCCCCCGCTTGCCGCTGACTTTCTCCTGCCCTCTTTTATTGTTGTTCTGCTTAAACTTCTCTTTTGAGCTTAATAGATTTGTTGTTGGTTTAACCTGTAACCGCTGTGGTTGTCGTTGTCTTTGTCCCCCCTTCTCCATTCTTTCCTCTGCTATTGCGCTCTCTCTTGATGAGTCTCAATGAGCGAAGAGGCGACAGCAATTGATAGCGGGAGCTTACACTAAAGTCCCGGGCATTGCCTCCCATTCGCATTTCTTTTCCTCCCACTCCAGCCCTTGCACACTGAGAGAAACCAGAATTGGATAATATATAATATTAAATCATTAAAATGCAATCCTCTCAATGGGAGTAAAAAAACCCCCGCAAAATATCGTGCAATAAATCTGGGGATTTTTCGATTTCGTTAATTTATTTCAATTGAATTATTTCCATGCAAAAGGTTCAGCGTAAAATTTCCATTATGCATGCGGAAAATCTTTTACCCAATCAAGTTTTCCAATTGACTTCAAGTTCTGCGGTGCTAATCATGTAATCATGCCTGGAAATATTTCCTAGAAGTTCAGGTCTATTCTTTAGGGGTATATGTGTTCAAAGAACGGAGTAAGCCTTCAAAGTGAAAGATCTAAGATCAGTAAGGAAATGTGGGGAACGGAACACAACTGTCCTGCACCGAAATCGGCTGTATATTCTATAGTATATATAAGCATTCAAGCAGTGTTTTTGAGGCTTTTGATCCATGACGTGAGCAAGCAGTTCGCGGGAACATCCCAAGTGTCTGAACTGCCGTTCTTGAAATTGTCGTTCATTTGGTTGCAGTGAAGCCCATAAATCGGGCCTAATTATAGGGTAACCAAGCTTCGCTTAACTGAAAATTTCCCATTTCCATAGTTTTTTTCGCCACAAAATAATTGTTCAATAAGCTTACAAACGACAGCAGCAACAACAAAAACAAACATAAATAAAACAAGTTTTCGCAGTACACGAAATATTCGGAATTGTTGTTGCTGTTTCTGGTTCTATTATCTCATGAATGGTACATACATATATACATACATATGTACATAAGTTCTAATATAATTTGTAAAAATATGCGAATTAATGTTGAGAGGGAAACGAGTTTCTCACTTGTTCGATTTGTATTTAAAATTCCTTGGAATACGTATATTTTTTTAAAGATTAGGTAACAACAAAATGGAATGCAGAAAGTGGCAAAGAAATGACATTTTTATGATAACCATAAACTGATTGCCATAAACTCTTTCAGCGGTCGAAAATATTGATTAAAATGAAAGAAAAATATAAAAATTATCGTTGTTGTTTCTGCTGTTATCCTATAGCATTTACAGTACATATTCTTCAGGAATTTGATTTCATTCTTGATTCAGTCGAAAGCGTATGTAGGCTTCGTTTTGTTTTGATTGATTTTGATTTGATTTTTTTCCCCTACAACATGTTGTTGTTGCACGTTAAGGATCTCCTGTGCCGGCGACTGCTGTTAAGGAATTTTCATTTCTTTTTTGTGTAGTAAAATATTGTCGGCCAGGCCTGATTAATTATGGCATGTCCACTGCTGCCTGCTGCCTGCTGCTTGCCCTGCTGCAGTTGTCGTTCAAAATGCTCAACTAGGCGTCGTCTCTGGTCTTTAATATATACTATATAGTGTGTGTCTGTGTGTGTGTGTGTGCTGTAAGGAGGGCGGGGCCGCCTTGCAGTCCGGTTTGGGCCTGGCCGTTGCAAGTGCAGCGCGCCTAGCAGCGCGGTGTGGCGGTTGTTCCGCGTTGATTTTGATATTGCAATTTTTTTGTTAAAATTGCAGGCACGTTGCAGGTTGTCTACAGTACATATTTTGTTTTTTGTTTGTGTTGCTTTTGTTGTTCTCTCTTAGTTTTGAATTAATTTGTGAAATAAAAAACTTTTCCATCTTGTGCTTTTGAGCACATGCTTTCGGGCTTCCTTTTTTTCATTTTCTGTTTGGTTTTGGTCAATATTGTGTGTTGAAATTATTTAATAAAATTAATTATATTTACTTCTGCCTCTGCGAATGAATGCCAGCTGATCTGGCAGCTGACATAAAGAGAAAGAGAGAGAGAGAGTAGATGAGGATAGGAGAACAAACAAACAAATTTGTTAGACTAACTGTCGGAACGGCATTTAAGGCGAGCATTCCGTACGGTGGAGGGGGGGAAGAGATAAGGATAGGGGTACGGGTTATATCAATATCTGCGCCGCACTTTACACATGCGTCACACACACACGCACACACACACACACATGGGTGGAGAGCAAGAAATTCAATAATAAAAAGCAGAATATGATAATCAAGCTTTGAAAGAGGAAGAAAAAAATCCACCTCATCACACTGTTTATCAAAGAGAGAAAAAGAGAGCCGGAGAGCGGGAGAGCGGGAGAGCTGGTGAGCGGGATAGTACACTTATGTGACACACAGACACAAAAAATTGAATTGAGTTAGGAACAGGTCAACCCCCCCCCGCCACCACTTCCATCCTCCAACACAGCTGGACACTTGTTGATGAGAGAGAAACAGAGAGAGAGGGAGAGCGGCAAATAAAGCTAAGAGAGAATGGAACTCACCACACTGGTGGGGGCATCGATTGTGTTGTGCTGTGCGAGACAGAGAGGGAGAGGTGAAGCTCCTTCGTTTGGCTCTTCCTTTGACGTGCGCTCTTCCCTCGACACCCCCCCCTCCCCTTGCCCATTGTCGCTGCCTGCCCTGTTGTAAAACTTATCAAGGTCGTTGCTTGCCTTGGCGTTTTTGCTGTTTGCTTTTTTTTTTTCGCTGTTGTAAGCGGGTTTTTCTGCCCCCAACCATCGCTCTCAGCAGCAGGGCCAGGCCGCCTGGCCGCCTGCCCATCATCATCATCATCCTTTTTGGCTCCAAGTAGGGAAGAGAACAAAAATTCTTTTGCTTTTATGTTATTGGGTTTCTCCATGCTCTCTGCTGTTTCGCATGCCTTTGCCCTGTTGTTGCTATTCGGCCGCCCGTCCGGCTTTTCCTCCTTCTTCGGCTCCTGGTGCTGCCTTGTTGTATTTTCTCCCTCCGTCTGCTGCCTGTGTTTATACTCTTTTTGGGGGCAATAGGACTTTGAGCAGATATTTGTAATGATTGATCTTGAAATAATCCCTCCAGTTCATAGTTTATCGGAAACAGGTTCAAACCCCTATATCATGCATTTTCAATGGTTATAGAAATATTTAACTCTGCCTTAATATTCAAAGGGAAAGGGTGTCAATAGCTTCGGCTCTCGTGGCCTGCGTTTCCTTCTTGTGTTTCAAGTGTCGCCCTCTCTTCGGAGGGTAAATTTTTTTCCCATTTGTTGTTGTTGGTGCTTAATTTACTTCGTTTACCTTGTCCCAAACGTTTATATTGCGCGTGCCCCTGATCCTTGGGTTTTCCCTCCAACTTTTCGCCCCCGAGCCCCACAACCCACACCCACTAGTATTTGCCCAATGTAAACAGCTTGAAATGCCACTGGAACCCAACTAAATTGTTTGAAATTATGCTCGCTCTCTGAGCTCACTCTCGCAAAAGATGCCGCGGGGATTTCCTGGGGGAGGGAATTCCTTGTAGATTTTATGGGAAGTTATGAGGAGGAAATTACTTTGAACGGTGCAAAATGGCAAAGAAGTAGAATTTGATCTATGAATTTTGTTACCCATTTTTGCATTTTTTTTTGGTTACTTTTTTTACTAGCTAGATCTTTGTATAGGTGTGTTGGAGAACACGGTTCCGTATCGTATCTCCATCGTCATCTTATACACGTGCAATTACGATCGCTTCTGTCTTGCGGATCCCCCAACAAGTTCCACGAACAGAGTTCCTGGCATACCAAGGAGTACCTGCAATACCTGTTCTACAGCCGCATAACTAGTGCACCAGTAGCAGTGGCTGTGGCTGTGGCAGTGGCAGTGGCAGTGGCAGTGGCATCCTCTGATAACTAGATTCCAACAGATTATTTGGTCCACAGTGTCGTATACGTCATATCTTGAGAGCTGCCACCGCCTCTATATACATACATACATATGTACGTATGTATATCCCTCTTTCTCTCTGCCTCTGCCTCTCTTGATTCCGCACTCCACTTAATGCACTCCAATGCCCCCCTTCCCCGCACTGTACCTGAGCGCTTTAATGCTACCTGGCCTGCCTTTTGCCTATTTTTAGCCATTTCTAATGAGCGGTGTCTATTTTTGGACCACAATTTTTGCTGGTCGTGTTGGTGTTGCGGCTTTCGCCTCGTTTTGGTTTCGTTTTTCATCGCCGCAGAGGACGGCCTCTGTCCAGTGGATAGACGGACGGGAGGACGGACGGACGATCCGCTGGAGAGTGGGAGCGCGGAGAGACCTGTCCAAAGCGGTGGCCACTCGATTGCCGATCTTTAAGCTTTGGTCTCTGCCTCGATGATGGGGCCTCTATGGCTTGTCTACAGTTTTTTCTCTACTTCAGCTTATTCTTTTTTTTTTCTTCTTCTTTGTTTGTCTTCTTTTTGCAAGATCATTATCATCGTTGGGCATTGCAGTTTCGTTTTGAGTGTGGACGGGGCAGGGGCAGTGGCAGGGGGAGGGGGATAGGGAGTGGAACCTGGCGTAATGCAAAAAAAGGGGGACTGGACTGTGGAACTGTTTTTGGCCATCGTCTGGTAATTGTCTTTTGATGGCATTGATCACTTCAGACAGACAGGGTCTAGTTGAACGGGTTTTTATTAAGCGACTGTCAGACTTGAGGCTTGATTAGGGTAGGGTATGGCTAGAAGACGAGAAGATAGGTTAGGAACTAAGATGTGGGATATCTCTGGGATATCTATTCGCGTTTGGTTAATGGTTTATTAAGAAATAATCTTGTGCCT